TATTACAGCTTCATGTATCATACTTTTTGTTCTGTGAATTCATTCTTCGTACTGGAATCATATTTCCATACACTCAATCTGTCTTATTATCACCCGATACAATTACCACTACTACTTTGATATTCATGTTGATAGTTTCATCTCGGTGTACCGATGTTGTTGTCGACGAGAGCACAGGTGGGGACAATCAGTTGTATTTTAATAGAAAATTACGGAGTTCTTTCATTAAATGTGAAAACCATATGTATAGTACTTCATTTGCGAATCCTCCATCAATTGTCTCAAACTTCATCGTTCCTTCATTGCCATAACAGCTACCCTCTGTTCCCGTTCTCTTCGATTCGATCATCCCAACTTTCTGCTGCCAGGTTTTTCACTTTTGGTTGGTGTTACATATTACTTATATCGACAGACAGAAGTAACATACACCACAATGTGACCTAAAAGCTAGAACCGATGCACATTTTTTTCAGTTTATACGTTGCTTATGATCGACAAATATTAAATTTATACAAAACCCATGTGAGCTAAAGTTGTTAGACTATATACCATACGCGGGAATACGACGTTATTAGGTTAAAATTGGTATAGAGCGAGCCTTCAGGAGTATGATTTACAGCTTAGTCGTAGTGTGTACTTTGGGTTATATCACTAATGACAATTATTCCGCTAATTTATTTATTCTTTTATTTCCTCCTCCCATGAAAAGTGACGCCGTAGCCCAAAACCTTTTGTATTTTATATTTGTTACTTTAGCTTCTTTTGAACTGTCGAAAAGTGACTTTTTGTCCTGCTGCTTTTTATTTATTATTCTTCGTAAAAAATCCAAATTCAAACAAATTTAAATGTATACACCCGTATTTGTAAATAGGATTCGGTCAGTAGGGTAAATAATCCATAATTCATCAATAAGTTTAGAAAAAGAAACATATTCACACCACTGGCCAAAAATTCACGGTTTTAAATATTTTTCTAACAAGTTGAGGTTTCTTTTTTTGTTTGATGAAAAAAGAAATCCTGTTTGAAATACATAGTTCCCTTACTTTCTCTTATAACTTACCTCAATTAAATTCAGGATAAAAATTAGATAATGCCAATAATTCAATGGTAATAGTAAAATGCTAAAAATTTGTCAATGCTTACGAGTTAATATATGTTCTAGTTGCCTTTCAGTAAATGAATATGGTTTATCATATACATTTTGTTAATTGACAAAACAATTACTTACTTGGTTATTTTTACAAATATTCTAATTCAAGTATATATTTATTTACATCAGAGTTAGTCACGTTGAGTCATTGATTATTGAACTGGACGATTCTGGTAGGTGTATACTACTAGGTTAGGGTTTTTGATATTATCATAACAAATGGTTAGGTTAGACTAGGTGATGCATCTCAGAGTCGGTAGCAATGGCACAGATACTTTAACTTTTTTCCTCCCTTAAATCTTGAGTTTTAAAATTATCTTGTACTTTTCTACTCTCGAATCATATCATTTTCGCTCACTGTTTTCCCTACAACTAATACTGTTAGTATTTCTGTCACTCTGGAATTAATTATTTCATTTCACCATAATAATAAATTGAAGTAAGTTGAACTGATGCACGTATGTCTCAAGTTTCTACGTTATTTTTATTATGACCAGTAATGTAATGTGTCAGCTAAATGAGCTTGTTCTATCTTAATTTAAAATTCTTGACTGTTATAATCAAGAGAAAAAATCATGATGCTGGAATACTGAGTAATCAATTCTGTTTATTCAATCATAATAAAACTTGATGGAAATAATTCCTTTCTTAAATTTAGTTTAATTGATAAATTTTGAAATGGCAAATAATCTCATTTTCATGCAGTTGTTTGTAGAAAAGTCAATGTAAAACAGTAAGCTTACTTGTTTTCTGCAGTATCCCATTCTTGACTTTACAATTCATGATCGAGAAGCATAAGTTGAAACCAGGCAAAGATGAAAAATGAAATATTTGAAACGGATTTAATCCAAGCCACTGTAATATTAAAATTTTGTTGCTAACTTACAAGTTATTTAATACAATATTTTAAAGAGTTTATAGGTATCCATACCAAGGTTGAATTTGATAGCTTCATATAATTTGAGCATTGGGTAGAGAGTTAATAATGAATATATTTTTGTTATATCCCAATGAGTAGAATAATTGTGTTACTGGTGTTTCGTGACCTAATATAAGCCAGTTATTCAGATTTTATTTACTCTGAAAAAGTGGCGTACATTAAGTCCCGAAACATCAGAAGTACAATTTTTCTACTGTTTGGGATATAATTAAAATATATTTATTATGGATTATTTTTAAGTTGTGGATAAAAAAAAAGCAAATTTGCTGAAAAAAGTCAATAATTCTAACTAATGTATTATTTTTAATACATGAATGATAAATTAAGATGATGATGATGATGATAATGACGACGATGATGAAGATTAACTTATTAGACTGTAATCAATAATTCAAGAAAGAAATAAGAGGATTTATTACTGCTTCACAGGGAAATAATTTCACTTTTCTCTGTGCAATTTTCAATTTCAATTCATTCCAAAACAATAATTGAATTCTCTATATGTACAAGATGTTCGGGCATTACAATGGTACAAATTCTTGTGAATATGTTCATTAAAAAAAACTATTGAAACTATCCTTCTGATTCATTTTAAATGCTTGCCACTGAAAACTTACAAAAAATCTGAGGTCGATATAAGCATGGTTTTGGTTTATTTTAGATTGGGTTGTCAAACATAAAGTTTTCTTAATTTGTATTTGTGTGCTTTCATGAAAACTCTGATTATTCTGATTAGTAGATTATCACCTTTTACACACTAAACATATGATAAATTCTCTTTATACAACAATTAAGTTTTAATTATATTTTGAACTATTATGTAGAATACTCTTAAACAAGTTCGAAATGATTGGCATATTGACAAAGTAGAATGCACTTAAAGTGATCATACGATTGTAATTTAAGTTATCTAGACGAGATAATAGTAATTAATCAGTATAAATCATATTGATTGGATGTGTTGGAACCATTTTTTTGTTTCACTGGGGATAAACACAAAATGATTTATTAGTATGGGGATTTGTGGAGATTGTAGTATTTCCACGGTCGGATTCACTAGTAGATGAGCATTGCTGAGGTGTCTCATACTAGGACGAAACGGCTGTCCAGTGCTTCCAGGTTTTTAATGGTGGTCTAGCTTAGGTTGATTCGTGCATACAACTGTGAAAATGATTTGATCATCAGATAAATTGAAGTCGCTACATTCTTTGAATGTTTATGGTTGCTGTATACAAAACACACTACTAAAAGAGATTAATTCCATATGGACTTATATCTATTAGGAATATATTCATGTTTCAAAATGGTTGACCGAATATCCATTTTGAAGTTGTATCTAAAATTACTTGCTAAACAAGTTAATTTATCATAGTTTTTAAATTCTTATATGTAAACTGAATATCCCTACTTCTAGCAAATAAGCTTATCGAATCTATTAAAGTATTTCACTTTTTTGTATACCGAACACCTAAATGAGTTTCCGTTTTGTTTGCTTTTCAAATTTTTAGAAAAAAATGCTCTTGAAATTTTGATCTTGAACTGTTGGTTATTTTCGCTTCTTTTTCTTTATAATTTTAATTTTAGGAAGTTGTAGAATCTGAAGAATTTCTTCTATTGCCTGTTAGTCATCTTGTAGATATTTTAAGTTCCGATGATTTAAATATTAATTCAGAAGAACAAGTTTATTATTCTGTAATGCGTTGGATGCATCATAATTTATCTGATCGTCGTCCCTATTTATCTTATTTACTAGAACATGTACGATTGCCTCTTCTTAGTCCGAAATTTTTAGTTGGTACCGTTAGTACAGATTTATTAGTACGCTCAGATGAACGTTGTCGTGATTTAGTTGATGAAGCTAAAGATTATTTATTATTACCTCAAGAACGTCCACTAATGCAAGGTCCACGTACTAAACCTAGAAAAATTTTACAAGGAGGTGAATTATTATTTGCAATTGGTGGATGGTGTTCAGGAGATGCGATCGCTTCAGCTGAACATTATGATCCACGTACACATAAATGGCATCTTGTAGCTCCAATGCATAAAAGACGTTGTGGCGTAGGTGTTGGAGTTGTCTATGATCTTCTTTATGCTGTTGGAGGACATGATGGACATAGTTATTTGAATTCTGTTGAAAGGTAATCTGTATTGTTATTTAATATTCGTTGTTTTAAAGCAGTATTTTAATTTCTTCACTAACAGCGTCTGTTTTTAAAAAAATAAAACAAGAATAACACTTGATGCAGAATAAAATGAATTAATGTGTATTGTTCTTCAAAACGTAAATTTTAAGGGATAGATCTGTATTTTCAAAGTAATCATTTACATGTTTTTTAATTCTGAAGTAGGTGAAGTTATTTAAGTGTAATATTCTGGCTGTCGACATAAAGTTGTAAAATTCATCAATAAACTATTCTAGTTTTATTGCCTATGAAAAGATCACTCAATAACTATATTACATCTAATTATTTCTTCGTAAAAAAGTTTATTATTTTGTTAAAATTTATTTATAACGTTAACGGAGGGCTTTGAAGCTACTGTTATCTATGTGCCTAACATTCAGGTAGTGTGTAATCTGACAATATTCAACCAACATTGTTTTCATCAATAACTCAGACATTGATATCAGAAATTTCTGACGCTTGGATTAATAATTTATTGCATTTTTAAACTACTCGTGAGTAGTCTAATTTTCAGCCGTAAATAAAATGGAAGACTAATTTTTGCTGGCTATTTCTTTGCTGCATATCTAATTATTAATCTTTGTCAGTCAGTCAGTAACAACGTAGAACTTCGTACGTACGTACATCAGTTCGAGTTGCCACACCACATTAGCACAGAGATGCACTTGTCGATTCAAATCCGGTAGTGGTAGAGGTAATAAGAGTATAAGCAGTAATCGGGAAGATTAGGGTTTGGAGATGTTATTTAAAGAGTATAATCCAGTGAAAGAAATTTGGAAAGAGGAAAAAAGGGACATGAAGAATTCAGAAGATTAGAGTTTGGGAGAACACAGAGAGTGGATGCACCTGCGCCATTGCAAACGATTTTGAGCCATGTCATTCAGGGTCTCTAACCATCGGTTGCTGTCATCTCGCGGTCCCCAACCAGGTAGTCTACACCTACCAACATGACTCAGTTCACTTGTCAGTGACTTCATGGACTTGTGCCATGTTTTGGTTTGGCCGCCCCTAGCTTTCTTCCAACCTACTCCTATACCACTGAACATAGCACGTCGAGGCAGTCGGTCGTTGGGCATACGTAACACGTGTCCCAGCCATCTCAACTGATGAAGTTTCACTACGTCATCAATTGATTTGCCATCTTTACCTAGTACCCGTTTCCTAACAACTGTGTTACTTACTCGATGGTCCCATGATATACGAGCAATGTTTCGAAGACACCTATGATCAAATACTAGTAACCTACGGATATCCTCTACTCTTACCGGCCATGTTTCACTGCCATAAAGTAGGACGGAACGAACTGCTGCGCAGTAAACACGTCCTTTGGTTGATAGACGGATATTTCGCCTACGCCATAAATGACGCAAGTTGGCAAAAGCTAGTCGAGCCTTCTGTATCCGTGCTGAGATTTCGTCACACACCAAACCACAAGGGCTGATGAGACTTCCAAGATAAGTGAAGCGGTCGACACACTCAACTAGTTCACTCCCTATCACTAGTTCGGGTGTCGATGTAACCCAATCCTGAAGCAACATTTTGCATTTCGAGGGAGAGAATCGCATCCCGAACATGCTTGCATTGTTGCTTAGAGTGGTCTTTGTATCATCTTTGTATCATTAACTTAACTCATTACAGCATACAACACTATATTGTTACTTAGTTTAAGGCACGTTTCATATCAGTTGATCAATGAGCTTTTCTCAATAACTTACTCATCACTTTCCATCATCTTTTTGATTAGTTCCAAAGGTTACTCACAATGTTCCCTGTCATGCTTCCAAGTTTTCCATAGTGGTCTAACCTCAATTGACTCATGATCTCAACTATTAAAATGACCATAATATCCACAAAAACCCCTTCTGATATTAGTCAACTTATGCCCACCAGTGACTGGCTTCAAGAGGTATTTCCTGGATTTATAGTGAGAATCACTGACCAGTGGAGTTCAACCGGGTCTGTTGTGAGATAGTAACTCACTGAAGACAATGGTGAATGTGTCGCTCAATTTCGTGGATTAGTTGAAGTTAGACATTAACACCGTTGGATGTCGGCTCAGTGGTCTAGTGGTTAGGAATTCGCGCGCGAGACCGATAGATCCTGGTTTGGAATCTCGCGAGGTGGGATCTTGGATGAGCACTGCTGAGGAGTCCTATACTAAGATAAAAGGGCCATCTATTGCTCCCAGGTTTTCCATGGTGATTTAGATTCAATTGACTAATGCCCTCAACTATTAAAATAAATTGTTCATTTTTTATATTCATATCAATAAATGGATACCCCGAAATTTTTTCAGTATGCTTACATTACTTAAAATTACTTTATTAATGGAGCAGTAACTAAACAGCCCCGAACTGGATGACATTGAAATTTTAAGTAACTTTTATTAGTATCACAGTCATTCTATACAACTTGTCGAACACAGCAACCCTATTCTGTAGTTCAAGTTGTGGATATTTCTAATATTGTTTAATTTAGATACGATCCACATACAAATCAATGGTCATCAGATATTGCTTCAACTAGTACGTGTCGTACAAGTGTTGGTGTAGCTGTATTAAATGGTTCTATGTATGCTGTTGGTGGACAAGATGGTGTGTCTTGTTTGAATTTTGTTGAATGCTATGATCCAAATGTAAATAAATGGCTCAAGGTAACTTATTCCACATATTGAATTGTACCTTATGTACATATAATGTACTACATGCGTTTATTAATTTTTAAGATTTCTTTGTGACTACGACATACACTTTTTCACTTGTTTAACACATATATCCATAGTTATCTACTTTAGGTTTGTATATACACTTTAGACGTGAACATTTGACTTCTAACGACTCAGTACTAATGTTAACTCCCTCTTTCCATTGACTAGTGAGTTTATGTTTATTTGTTAGTCTGGGTTGATCTAGACATATCATGTGCCTGTGTTCACAAACCGTTTCAAGGTTAAACGCCATTAAGAGATTATAAGCGAGACATGTTACTGGTGGATAGCTGATGTACATGTAGTCAAGGTTTCAGCTTATATGTTATTGGGTGAGTCAGAAGGACAGGTATATGTATACTCCTGATTCGTGTACACATTAGTCGGTTTGCTAACTGTGGGTTCCTAGTCAGTCTTCAGTCTTCTCACCGTCATAACCGGTTAGGGAAGCGTATAGGAGGCTAGTGTATATGTATCTCAATCAGTTAACCTCGGGACGTAGCAGTACTTATGTTTAAGGAAGAGTAGGTTGCTGTGGAAAAAGCTAGGAGAGTAGTTCAAGATCATTCATTGCATTTAAAATTCTAATCTGCCCGTCGTCTCGACCTTATTAAAAATATTCTTATCACTGGACTTAACTTAATACCTAAACTTTTGTTACGACGGGAAAAAGTGAATAGTCACTCGTTTTGTCACATTCATTTTCATTCTTGACTACTCACATGTTAGTTGACAAATAGGTCATGGTAATGCCATTCAAGCTGAATGTAATACATATATATATATATATATATATATATATATATATATATATTCTGTAGTCAGTTAACCAGTGGTTCCAGTTTTTAGCATGTATTCGGTGAACACTTTGATAAGCTCGGTTGTTTCAGAGTTTTACTGAGTCGATGGAGCCGTTATAGCGATTTCAGGATAGTGATAATAATCAGTGACAATGATATATTTTAATAGCTGAATTCGTAAAGTCAGACATTAACACGTTTGGATACCGGTCAGCTCAGTGTTCTAGAGTGTAAGCGTTCCCGCGCGAGACTGGAAGTCCTGGATTTGAGTCTTGCACATGAAATCGTGGATGCGCGCTGCTGAAGAGTCCCGTACTGAGACGAAACGGCCGTCCAGTGCTTCCAGGTTTTCAATAGTGGTCTAGTTTCAATTGACTTATGGATTCAACTATTAAAATTACTACAATCTCCACAAACTCCCATTTTGATAATAATATATTTGTAATGTTCTACTTATAGTAAGTCGCAAAATTTCGAAATATTACGAATGTATTATTGTTTAATTACAAAGGATCCTTCCAATGTGCGATATATGGTAACGATAATCTGATGCCATTGATGAAAACTGCTTTATTCTTAACATATTTAAACTTCACGTGTTACTACTTCTTACTAGAACATCTGGAGTCCCATACTAGTGCGGGAAGGTTTCCCAGTACCCTCTGGTTTCCAATGGTTTATTTATTATTTATTTGAACACATAAATATTGGTACAAATGGGCACCGTATACGTATGCGCCACACAAGCCACTTGAGTTGTGTGTGGGCTATGATACTGCACGACTGCCCAAACTGAAGTATTTGCTTTTCTTAGGGTGCCACACTTGGAGCCTTCGACCTGAAGGTCTGATTCACAAGGCAGTGGAGCAACGTCAGGAGATGCAGTCCCTCGGTAGCCGGTTACCAATAATTGGTTCATACGCCATTTATTTCCTCAGGATCCTGGAGCCCATGTGCACCACTTGTTTGTAATCAGGGTTTTCCAACTCCTCTAGATGGATTCTTCATATCCATCAGCCCAGTTATAGCGCTGAAAATTCACTGTTCGTCCTCTCAATTTCGTAAACAACACCCTCGCCATGAAAAGGCAGTGAATAGGACTTCCTTGGCAGAGGCTGTATATGCGTAGCCAAGGGTAGAGCATTTCGAGAGGAAGAACTGACTCTCCCCACTCTCTACCATACCAGGGCATTTGACAAATCCATCTGTGCTAAATAAAACTTAAAAATCAAATCGATCCCCACAAAATCCCTTCAACTAATCCACTTAATGTTAAATTTATTTGAAAACATCAAATCAAACCTTGGTAATAATATTTACAAGTTTCCGAATCAGGCTTTTCACTCCAATTTTTATATCTTCTCAAGTAAAAAAATTATTGCATATATCCAAGGATAACTGTGATGTGATACAGGATCATTTCATGATCACTTTGTAATTTGTATTTTCTTACTGTTCATTCTTTCGAAAAGCTCAAGTGTATATCAATAAAGCCCATATTCAGAATTCAGTTATTCAGTGAAAATTCTCAATTCCGTGTTCTTTTTTCTAATACTTTGATATACTACTCTAAACATTATATATTATCAATTTACTATGGAAACTGATTAAACATTTTATGGACTAAAATGAACTGTGCAGAATATAAATATAATTTCTTATTGATTTAATTAGTCCAACTATATAAACCTATTTATATTAGTTACTAATATATGTTGAGACAGTACCTCTATTATGACGGTGTATGAGTGACGTAATATATCTTTGTTTTTTTTTCTTTCTAAGGTATCCAGTATGATTACTCGTCGTTTAGGTGTCGGTGTTGCAGTTTTGAATGGTCAATTGTATGCTGTTGGTGGTTCTGATGGTCAACAACCTTTATCCTCTGTGGAACATTTTGATCCTCGTGTTGGTACATGGCACCAAATATCCTGTATGGGAACTAAACGTAAACACTTAGGTGTGGCTGTCTATAATGGTTTGATATACGCTGTGGGTGGAAGAGATGAGGTTACAGAATTATCGTCTGTAGAATGCTTAGATTTACGTAGTCGTACATGGACTCCTGTTGTAGCAATGACATCACGACGTAGTGGAGTAAGTCATATTTCTAAAAAGAATTAAGCGCTATAAGGAACTTTTATTTTTTTATAATAGTCAAGTAACAACTTTTATATAATGTATTCATATTGACTAATATGAAATGACTGTGTGTTTGAGATTTCTAGGGAAATTCAATTTAGTTTTCAATACAACTGAATTCTCTTCAATTACTATAAAAGAGTTTGCTCTTCCTCTAGAAACGTCCTCATGTAGCCACGCGTATATGGCCACTGGCAAGGAAGTCCTACTCACTGTTTTCTCTCGGCCGGGTTGTTGTTTACGAAATTGAGAGGATGAAAAGCGAATGTCATGGCTTTAACTGGATTAGCGTTTACAAAGGATTCACTTAGGCAAGTTGGTAAGCTATGGTTCTGAACCAGTGGTGCACATGGACTGCAAAATCGTGATAGAAAAAATGGCGTATTCTTGCTAAATAACTTATGCTAATCGTGATAATTTGAACGAAATGTTTGAAAGAAATTAAGTGCCGAGTATAGAGGAGATATTATTTCGAAAATTGTATTTGAAGTAATTTGAGCGAATGAAGTTTAAATAATTTCAGCATATCGTCCAGCAAACTTATCTAGACTTCTTCAGGGTAACTAGCAGAATCAAAGAATGTATAATGTTTGACAATCAAATCAAATCTATGATAAGTGCTTATTATTATTATTATTATTATTATTATTATTATTATTATTATTATTATTATTAGCTTTATTCAATATTATATTATTGGTACAATATAGAATTCTCAGCACAAAGTATTTCAACAAGTTTCCGTTTCTTTCTTCTTGGTCGGTCCTCGTGATAAATACTGAGTGATCGCCAGCTAGATGTTAACAGTCCAGTAAATGAACATCTGAATAATGTACATTCTTTTCGTTGTATATTGCCAGCAACAATATTCTCTCTTTTTGAGCTTTTTGTAACTTAGACAACGAAAGGTTGTACACTTTTCAGAAACGCAGCAGAATAGGTTGTGCGATTAATAGACATAATGATATATTAAAACAAACAAAGATAGATAACTTGTCGAAATATCTAGATGGCAGGAACAGGTAGCCCAGATGCTCAAGCAGGCCGCCTTATCCAATTGT